GTATTTTTAATACACTATTATAGAATTTAGTAATATTTTTAATTAGCTTTTATTTTAATACTTTAATTTTAGTCTTCTTTTATATATTAGTTATTAAACTTATTTCAGTTAACAGCCAAGACAACATTTCTATTTTTTTTCTGCTTTTTAAGTTTGTAAGTATTTTAAGTATTTCATGAAATATTTAATTATTTTATTTCAGTTTTATTTCAATCTACTATTTTTAATAGCTTTAGTTAACAGTAACACCACTGTTCCACAGAAGCACATTAACACTTCAGAGTAAGAAGCAACAGTTGTATTGTGTAACATGGTTACTATAATGACATGTAAGGCATGAGTCATGACAGACTGAAATGAAACCCATCCTGGGTGATTCAGTTGTGCACCTGCTACTCTCTCCTGATAAGAGTTTTATGACCCATAGATGTCATACATATAATTTGATTATAAAAGTTTGTTGATAATGTGACCGGAAGTTGGTGAATAAGCGATTAAACAGTGGTGAAGCATAAGCGTATATGACATAGCCTTTGCAAACAAATCACAGAAGAACATGTGAGTGCTCCTAGCACATTTAAAGATAAAGCCACTATTCTCTTCTTCACCCTCATTTAGACGGTCCTGGCAGCTTTACCACTGCTCTCATGTTTTTACGAGGAAGTTGGATGTTACTCATGGCGGTTACGCAATGACCCATTTTACACACTCTCCTTGTGTTTTTGTAACAAAACAAATTCAACAGCTTGAAAGATATTATAGTAATCTTCATGCAGAAATGTCATCATGTAAATAGAGATTTTACTGGCATATACGGTTTCTTACATGTGTGATTTTTGTAAAAAGTAATGCATTTATCAAAATTAACATTTGCCTATGATTTGGAAGACTAATACTATGTATCTGACTGAAAAATAATTTCGAACAAATGACAATTAATAAATAAATATAAACTCACAAATATAATAAATGTATAATAAATAACAATATATAATATAGTAAATATATTGTCTTCCAGAATACTTGTTATTAATCTGTATATTGCATATTTAAAAGCAACAAGTGAATCACCAAATACAGAATGTAAAGAACAACACTTTGCATATTAATGTAAACAATTTTGTTCATCAGTGGCATCATACACAGATTTTAGCCTAAATCTCTCATGTGCTCACACTACAGTTAAAGGCTCAATCATGAGTCAGCATATGCAAGAGCAGGTGCTTATGTTTACAGTATTAATTCACTTTTGTTGCAGTGAAACAGCTTCCACTAGCAATTTTCCTGATGAATATCGTCTTATGTTTATAAACGCCATTGCCCATATTTCTGGTATGTCTGCATCTAGGCAACAGGCCATATATTTCAAGGACACACTGACCTAACAACTGACAGGCAATGACTTGACTGCATTCAACATGATCATCAATATTGATTACTAACAAAAATGTGGGGGCAAAGGGCACAATGTAATTTGTTTATTTTGTGTCTATTTGTGTAGATTGACAAATACTTGTACGCCATGCGGTTCTCTGATGAGACGCTGCGTGACATCATGGCCCGCTTCCGAAGGGAAATGGAGAACGGATTGGGACGAGACATTAATCCGACAGCTACCGTCAAGATGTTGCCCACCTTTGTAAGGTCCATTCCTGATGGATCAGGTGAGCTTATCATTTATAAGGCCGTAAATCGTAAAAATAAATGCCTTAAAATACTTTTATCTGACAACAGAATCCTTAAGTAATTACAAAAGCTTGCTTTGGAAGTAGCCGAGAAAGAATGCCGTGTATGGAAATAAAAATCAGCCGGGCTTTCCTCATAAATTAGTGTCAAGCAAACTGTGGAGTCAGCAGTTCTGTCCATCAGGGCAAACAGTCTCGAAAATAAATGTCAGCTTTCTTCATTGTACTTCTTTTAAATGCTTTGACAAAAGAAAGAACAATAAATTTGACCAAAATTTTGTTTTTTGATTTGAAGAGGTCAGATGCTTACAGTTGAATTAACGCTTTAAATAAATGCCCTCAAAGATACCTGAAACTTAGAAGGTATTCATTAAAAATCTGTTTGCAAGTTGTGAAGAAAACTAGTTTAACCTGTATTGCTGCAAGTGTAGACTTCCTATAGCACAATAGTGCTGGCAATCTGTTGGATTTTCATTTGAACCATTTGTTTATTCCATTTTTAAGAAGAATATTAAGTACTGCACTTCCATTTTTAAGAAGAATATTAAGTACTGCATGCCAAAGTTTAATAAATTGCAAGAATATGCATCAAGGCTAAGTAATGGTTACATCTGAAACATTCTAAAGTCACATTCTGGTTTGATTCTTTTAAATAGCTTTTGAATGAATAACATTTGCCTGCCTCCAAATGTATTTACTATGCAAATTTACCATAGTATTGAATTGGGTGAATCTACTACTGTGTGCTCACAATATTGAACCAATTTCCCCCGTGCCATAACACATTGAGAGCTGCATTGAAATGTGCTCCTGCCTTTGTACATGCCCTGCAGCATCCAACCAAATCCACTGGGTTACATCACGGATTATATGAGCTGTAATCCCAGTCAGATTGGCATGTGAAAGTTGACTTCAGTGCAATTTGTTAGCATCCGTACTACAATGTGTTCTGCAAGGCAGTTTCATTCTAGTTAATGATGGCAGATTTATTGCTCATGTAGCAGCAAAGTAATTCAAAACAATTAGAACAACATGGACAAATCCGATTTAATGTTTGTCCACATCAATAATCCATTCATCCAACGCTGCAATATGTAGCATAGTATACATACATCAAGTCCAGAATAGCTCGTCAAGAGCAGCTCTCTAGTCCTAAGGTGCTGGACACAGCATAAACAATAATATATATATATATATATATATATATATATATATATA